GAATGAACATCTAAATTTAGTTGAATCTTAAGGAGTCTTAACATAATTAAAAAAAATAAAAAAATTATTAAAATATGATGTGGCATGGGAAAAAAATCTTAAGATAAGACAGGGCTAATCTTGCTCTTAGTTTCTTATTTAAAGTCTTTAATTTTCCCTTCTTATTTTCTCACGGCCCCCACTTTCCTCTACCATGATTCCCCACCCCCATGATATTTTCAATTCCTTTTCTTAATTCGTCCATACAACACCACACTACCATATCTAATTACTCACCACCAACACCCTACCATTAACAAAAATCGCATCACAACCATTCAATCGCCACCACTACGGCCACCCTTACCCTCACAAGCACCTCAAATACCATCACCTAAAACCCCTTCACGGTCGTTATCACCCCCACCCTCTCGAAACCACCCCACCACCCTGAAAATTCACTATCGTGAAAACCCATGTCCTTCCAATATATAAAAAAAAACCTACAACTCTAGAAATTAGAAGAAAAAAAAAGGAGAAAATAATGATTGATGAAGAAAAAAAGGACTAGGATCTATAGGCACATTTATGCTACTTTTATATTTGCCTTATAGGTCTTTTAGTTGTTTTTAGGTCGCAAATGCATAAGTTGTCCGTTTCGTGCTCTATTACGCTTCGTTTGTGTTTTCTTAATGTTTAAGATAATTTTCATAATTATTTGGACGCTTTCAGAGTGGTTTTGGAATAATGAGACAGTAAAATGATGAAAAGTCAATGAATCGAGGTCGCTCAATGAATGATATGTGTTTGTGGAAACTTGGGTTATATAAATATATGCATGAGGAATGAAAATAACATCCCTAAGAGTCGCTATACACCTTTCATTGAGTGACCTCGATTCATCGACTTCCAAAACCACTCCTAAAGCGTCCAAATAGTTATGAAAACTACTACAAGTAAGAATTTCGTTAGTTAAAAAAAATATGTAAAATGGGTTAAATCGTAAATCAAATCATATGACATACATAAATCTTAAAATCGTAAGATCAATTTTAAGACTTAAATAGGGATTTAAATAATTTAAGTTCAACAAAAATAAGGTGAAGAGAACATGACCTAAAATCATAACTTCGACATAGTCATTTTTCATGAAATAGCACATTGTATAGATTTAGATTCAACTATATATAACAAATAATGATACTTGGATTGCACATTTGAAAACTATATGCATGAATGTATATGCACCTATAAAAACTAATTTTAAACTTAAAATACGAATTGAAATATATGGCAACAAGGTTAAAAATTAAAATTTCAAATCAAATCTACCCCCTTTTAAATAAAACAGTTCCTTACTTAAAAGGCATAGACATAAATCTAGAGAACAAAAATTAATCTTTTATGGTATGTTCTCTTCAGCTTAATTGCAATTCAGTTCAGTTAAGCACCGATCAGTTCAATTCAATTCCTAATTTCCTTCTCTAAAAAACTATTCATTTTAGCTCTATTCAGTTCGGTTCATCTCTAATCAATTCAGTTCAACTCAGTTTAGTAAATCAGAACATATCTTTAGTTGAATTAATCTATAACCCATTTGGAATTGAAAATCATAATGGCTCGGCTCGATCAAGCATGCCCTCAAGTGTATTCAGAGGTGACTTACATTGGACCAGCCCGATAGCTTGATAGGTTGTCGTACACCTGTCAAAAATAAATTCCTAACAAAACCAACTAACAATGTAGTAGGGTAAGTATGGTCGAATCCACAGAGAGATGACTATTCAATCTAACTTCTAAGGTATATATGGAGAAACTAAACTATGTAACGAATTTGGGATAAAAATATAGTCTAAATTAAAAGAGGGATAAAATAATTAATAAAAAGACCTAGGGTTATGGTTCACCATGTTTATAGTTCTAAATATATCAAATATCAATAACAATTCAATCAATTAATTATCTAGAGCAATTGCTAAGCCTACGGTCGGGTCTTAACACTCTCAATTCAACATATGCAGTTTGGTCGCTAACATAATCAGAATTGTTAATTGTAGGTAAGCCTCTAAAAGTAAGATCTTTCGATTCAAACTCTTATTAACAAGAATTAATCAAACAATTGATCAAGTTGCAAGATTAACAATAAAACACTATCAATTAGAGAAATTAATAATCAAAATATTAAAAAACATCAATCAAGATTCATTGTATAAACATGGATTCCCAAACCCTAGAAATAAACTACTCTAGCATGAAATAAATAATTAAAGCTAAATCTAATAAAGAAAGCATAATCAAAATAAAGAAAGAAAATTACCTCAATGAATAAAATTAATAAACTCAAGAGCAATCCATGGAGAATCCATGGAGTTGCCCATGAGAAAAATAGGGTTCGAGAGAAAAACTAAAAAGAACGTAAAATAATAAAAGATATAAAAGGCATAAAGGATAAATAATATCCCTTGAATATTTATATTATCCTAAAACTAATCTAAAGATAAATAAATAAAATAAAATAAGAAAAATAGCAATTACATTAGTCGTGATATGATTGGTCGTCGATTAAAAGAGTCATAGTTGATGTAGGTTGCCTCGGTGTCATGGGCACACAACCCATCGCCCGATGGGTGGTCACTGGTCGAGGGTTGTGATGAAGATGAAGCTCGACCATCTCCCGATGGTTTTCCAGCGGCCTGATCAGTTTCGAAGGCTGGTGTGCGTCGCAAGGCCATCGCTCGATGGCTGGTCGCGTCGCTGGACTGGCAGATTTGCATAACCAAATTCAAATGGCTGTAACTCATGATATATGAATCATATGGAGGCGTGCGACCTATCATTGGAAAGATCTTCGAGTCTAGTTTCTAAACCAACTTGAATCACCTCAATCCAATCTGTAGAACTCAAGTTATGATCAAAAGAGTGGAAAAAGGTTAGTTTTACCACTTTGTAAAATATCGTTTAACTTCGTTTCCAACTCAAATTCAATTCCAAAAAGTGCATAACGATCATCGTGGATGCTATTTTCATTTCTCATGCATAAAGTCCTCAGAGTCAACATCCACGAACATGAGATCTCCAATTAATAGACTCAATTCATCAGCTTCCATGTAAATATCTAGGGGTGAGCAAAAATTATGGGTACCCGGTTCCGGAATTGGAACTGGTTTAGACCCGGTGGGTCCGGACCCGGAATTGGTTCAACTAAAATCAATTCCAAAAACAAGGACTCGGTTGATACCGGTTCCGGTTCTAAGTCCTTGAATTTTGGACCCAATACCCACTGGGTACCCGGTTAGATATGATACCTAGTATGTGGATTGTTTGTGTTTATATTTTTTCAGAAATTTCAGAGGCCCATTTTAATTTCTAAGCCCAAATGCTATAAAACTCTCAATCCCCTATCAAACAAAACCCTAAAACAGTAAAACTCTTAGCCTCCCTCAAACATTTCATTCTTACGCCACCCTTATTCTTACTCTAACAACCTTCTTTTACTCCATTACTTCTTTTTCTCTCTTAAATTTCCTACCTTTTAAAAACTTGTTCTCATTTCTCTAACAAGGTTGACAGATCTCCTTAGTTTCGATAATTTAAGATATCAATCTTATTTTGCGCAATGTAATTCGAGAATCACAAATAATGAAGTACTAGAGTATAACATTTGGGGATTTTTTTTATTACATAGTGAAGTTTTAATCGTTTACTAAAGCTTGACATAGCAATATAATCTAATTGAGCTATTCAGAATTTAATTTTGATTGTCAAAGTTTTATTGCAATTTTAGTTTTTAATTTTGGGAAATAATTGAAAAAAGAACTGGGTACCCGGTCTTGGAACCAGTTCCCACCAATTCCGGGACCAGTTCCACCATAACGGGACCCGGTTACAACCAGTTCCAGTTCTGGTTCTAATTTCTCGGACCCGGTTATAACCGGTTCCGGATCTGGGTCCAGTGAAACTGACTGGGTACCCGGTTGTGCTCACCCCTATAAATATCATCCGAATCAACTCCAAACACTTCGAAAGCGTCCAAATGACTATAAAATCACCTGAAACATTAAGACAAACACTAAATCCTTTTTACGTCCTTCTCTCTCCTCTCTCTTCTAGGGTTTTAATTTTCTTGGTCGTTTAGGCCGGAAATAGTCTAATTTCTTCGGAAATTAGATTATTTCCGACCCTTTTTCTTTAATTCAATTTAGTTTTTTTGTTTTGTTTTACGATTTGGTTTATTTGTTTGTTTTGTTCTCTCCATCTGTGAGAGTTTTTCCCAATTTTCTGGGTTTTTCCCAATTTTCTGGGATTTTGATTCTCATCTATGGATGAGAATTTTATTTTTAGGGTTCTTATAATAATTGGGAAGGTGATTTGGATTCCTATGGGTCTGGGATTTTTCATCAACCGGTCGATCAAAACATCAGCGCAGATTGCGGAGGTCTCAACTTGGAAAGATGCAAAGACATCGAAAATCATTGCTCGCGTCAAGCTTGAAGCGATGGAGTATGAGCTATGCCAAATATGCAAAATAGTTATGATTTTGATTGTAAAAGTTATGATATTTTCTCTAAATCTGTGGTTTACAGATCCTTGTTATTGTAGATGCCGTATGGCTTTTATTCAATGATATTATTCTTCCTGTTCAAAAAAAAAACATTAAGACAAACACAAATAGAGCGTAATAGAGCACAAAACAAACAACTTATGCATTTGCTTCCTAAAAAGCAACAAAAGACCTAAAAAGCTAATACAAACTTAGCATAAACGTGCCTATAAATACTATATAAATGTAAAGCGGGTTTGGACAAGCCTTAAAGCACATTTTTAGTTTTAAAGCCGAATCCGACCTGAAAAAGCCTAAAATGCCCAATATGGCCCTGTAAATCCGACCTTGACCTCTAAGCGTATTGTGGTTTCCAACTTGACCCAAACCACCCATAAGAATGAATACCTCATCGGTTATAAAAACGCGGCTACATATTGTAATTTTGACGGTCGTTGTTTATCATATGATAATTAATCTTTATCTAATTAATAAATTACGGAGTATAACGAGTATGATGTTGTTGTACTACTAGCTGTTTCTATCTCTTCTTCCTTTCTCTCTCTTCTCCTCTTTTCTTGGCGCTTTCTCTCCTTCTTCTTCAGAGTTGCCAATGGCGACGGCAACACAAGGAGGTATTTTTTCCCTTCTCCTAATCTCAATTTTCTACCAATTTCCTTGATTAATTGTGTTGATTTTTGCTTTGCTTTTTGGTTATTGATTTCCGTTAAATTTTGGTTTTTTTTTGGATAATTTGTGTTTGATTTCGAATTTTTACCTTTTTATGTCGTGATTATCGTTGGGATTGATTGAATTGATTAGGGTTTTTGCTTTTAATTACGATTTTTTCTGCAACCCTGTAATTGAGTTGAGTAATTGGGTAGTTTTGGCAAGATTGATTAATTTGGGGTATTGATTTGGTTTTGAAATTATTCTGTATTGCATGCCAATTTCTTGAGATTAGTGGTTCTTTGGTGTAGTATTGAAGATTTAGCTTGATCTGGAAATACCTCCGTTGTAAAAATTGAAGAAAAGAAAGAGAAATTGAGGAAATTAACAAATTATGGCTGCTATTATAAGGTGTAAAATTGTATCCTTTCTAATTTGGGATTTTATTAAGATTTCGAGCAGCTTGTGCTGAATAACTGCTGATGTTAAAATTTACATAATGAAAGTATGTACGGATCATTAGGCAGCTTTTAGTTGAATTGACTCTTGGAGAGTCTAATTCGCTTAAATTTTCCCCTTATTCGAGTTAATACGGCCTTATTACACTAACAAGGCATGTTGTTTCTCTCTGCAGCTAGTGGCCCTCCACCGAAACCTTGGGAAAGGTCTGGATCGTCATCTGGTCCAGCACCATTTAGACCCCCTTCAGCTGGTGCTACAAGTGATGTTGTAGAAGCTTCTGGGACTGCAAAGCCTGGAGAAATCGTTTCAACTTCTGATCGAATTAATACTGTTAACACAAATGCAGTTGGCAGGCCTCTTCCGACAAGGCCTTGGGAAAATAATATCGGAAACAGCACTTATGGAGGTAGTTGTATTTTGATTCATTGAGACATATAGGAGTATATCAGAACAAGAGCTTTGTTAGAAGCACTGGAGTTATGATGCTGCTACTATGCTTCTGAACCGTTTGATAAACTGTTATTTGCAGGATACAATTCTGGCATGACGAACTCTGGATATGGATCAGGGATGTATAATTCAATTGGTGGGGGATATGGAGGAATGAGCGGGGGTATGTATGGTAGTAGCATGTATCGAGGGGGAATTGGAGGGGGCATTGGTGGGGGATATGGTGGCGGACTTTATGGTTCTGGAATGTATGGTGGAGGAGGGATGTACAATAGTGGCTTGGGAGGAAGCATGGGTGGTTATGGAATGGGAATGGGGATGGGCATGGGCGGTCCCTTCGGACCCCAAGATCCGAATAATCCTCCTCCATCCCCACCTGGGTTTTGGATTTCTTTTCTTCGTGTGGTAAGTATTAACTTCTTTGTATTTTTTTTTTTTTTTTATTTTTTTTTTTTTTGATAATCTATAGATTTTCTGCTTGTATATTAGACTTATCCTTGTGGACATCTGAATGTGATTAAACGGCTTTTGATGTCATTTGTGGAAGTCATTTGAATTTCTCTATTTGACCTAGTTATTTTAGTTCCTATTTCTCATACACTGTGTTTTATCAATGCTTAAGTTGTTAGGTTTGATCTATCTGTTAATCATTTCTTTGTGCTCCAGCTGTTGCTTAGGATGTATATTTGTTTGTGATGCTGTGATCCTAATACTTTTGCTTTGGCTCAATTGTGTGCTACCTTGGCTCTCATATTTTGATAAGAAGACAGTCCAAGTTTGGTTACATTCTTTCATCGTTGTGCCGTTGCCTTGGCTAATCTCTTGGCTGCTTTTGGTCGGGGGGTGGGGGAAACAAACTAATTTTATAGTTCAGTGATTGCAACAAACTAATTTTATAGCATAAGATAGTCTTACAGTGAGCTCTTGATAATTATGAGATTATTTTATAGTCCATAGTGGTTCCCTCACCCTTTGGGATTTTTATAGTTCAATCCTTCCTCGCTCCTTTGCCATGTTTTGTTGCAACCACTGCAGGACTTGATAAAATGCCCCAAGGCTTGCATTGAGAATGCTCAAAGCCCAACCCTCCACTGCTCATTTTGTATCCATTGGAGCATTACGTTAGTTCCTTGCTCAATCCAGCCTAGTCCTACCTTGTTCCATACCCAACACCTTAAAAACGCGTTAATTGGAGCGCAATTTGGATATTGTCTAATTAGAAAGGAATCCTAGATAGGCATGTTTTGGTTGCCATATTGAGACATCACTACTCTTGTGCTTTTATCTTGCTTACTCTTGATGGCTGTGTCATATGATGCTTCCACTTTTGCTAGTGTTCCAGTTGTTTTGGGGATTTTCCATTATCACTGTATATTTCCAGACCCAAATTGAGCTCTTGACCAAAGTGTAGCTCTGAAATAGATGTTTAGTGGAAGTTGGAACTTGTTATTGTTAATCCACTAGTTTATAAGAATTATATTATCTAACCCCTAGTTGATTGCTAGGTGGCACCCCTTCTATATATGGTTGGTTACTGCAACATATCTGAAGATGTAGTCACAGATTTATGAAGCAGCTGTCTCCCATCTTCTGACGATATCCTAACGGAAGAGCATTTGTATCTTTAATAGAAAATTTTTCCATTGCTAATTTGCTATCATCGTCATAGTAATGTGTACTCTTCATAGAGGCATCTATATCCAATTATAATGAGTAGTTTCCATCATTGGTTCAGTTCAAGATTATTGTGTCTTTAATCTATGAAGGGTTGTGATGCTGAGAATATTTTTCACCTAGTTGTTCGTTAATACTTAATAGGCTTCAAAGGTTCAAACTAAATTCTGGCTCCATGTTCCATTTCTTGAAATCAGACTATTAAACACCCATTTATTATGTGGTCTGTCTTCTTCATAGGAGTTTCTATGGTTCATTAGTGGAGTTTGACTAGAGAGAAAAGTGGTTCGTTAATACAGATTTATGAAGCAGCTGTCTCCCATCTTCTTTGATTGTTGGTTGAAACGAGTTGATTAGAGAGAAAAGTGGGATTAGATGTAGTGGTTGTGAGAGTAAAGTTGTGGTCTCCACAACCAAAAAAAGTATGGGACAAAGTTAAAGGGGCGAACTAAAAAGTAGGGATGTCAGTGGGGACCTGCCCCAGTAGGGCGGGGATGGGGATGAAAACCATACCCTCCATGGGTGATGGGGCAGGGGTGGATTTTAGGTTGTACCCGCCCCATCCACACCTTATGCCCACATCTATTATCTATCAAAGCAAAATTCTATACTTTTATACTATTTATAAAATATTTATGTAAAATAAAATATTAATTATAATACTTTGTAATACACTAATATTATAAGCAAAAAAATGTGTAATACTCCCTCTGTTTCAAGTTACTCGCAACAAAGGAGGGGATTGCGGACTCCTAGGCAAAAGATCTTAAGTTTGATTATTGGAAAATTAGGGATAGACTTAAGTACTAATCCAACCCAAAACCAACAGCTAGCACCACCACCAACAGTCCACCTACCACCAACAGCTAGCACCACCACCAGTCCACCACCAACACCAACAGCTAGCACCACCACCAGTCCACCACCAACACCTAGCACCACCACCAACACCTACCACCTCCACCACCGAGCACACCCGAAACCACCCAACACCACCATTTAGGACCACGAAACCACCCACCACCACGAAAACAGCAAACACCGAACCCACTACAATCCACCACCACCCACAACCCTAAACTCAACCCACGAATCCGCCACCACCCACAAATCCATCGAACATCGAACCCACTACAACCCACCACCACCCATTACAACCGACAAACCCTAGCTAAACTCATAATCCAAAATCCGCCACCACGAATCCACAACCCATCATCTTTACGAATCTACAACCCATCACGACCCACGGATTCGCCACCAACAACGAATCCATAACCCATCACCACCCACGAACCCAAATTTCGAACCCCACCCTCGAACTTAAATTTCGAACACACCACCACCCCACGTACCCAGATTTCGAACCCAAAACCCACAACCCAGATTTTGAACCCATAACCCACGAGCGAGGGACAACTAACAGCGGCGTGATTTCCGGCGAGGTGTTGCGATCGAATTGAGGGTAGATCGGTGAAGAAAGAGAGAGAAATTCTGGGTATGGTGGTGGTGGTGATGGTGGTAGTAGTGGTAATGGTAGTGGACTAGTGGTGGTGGTTGGCAATTGAAAGTGATGATGAATTTAGTTGGGAGGGGAATGATTTTGGTGGAAATGATTAAATGTAGAATTTAAGTTAATGAGATAAAAACAATAGTTTAATTAAGGTGTTTAAAAACAAAAGTAAGGGTAATTTTGTAAAATCACCCTTAAAAACTTATTAAAAAAGGAAAAAAATAACTTGTTGCGAGTAATGTGAAACACCCATATTTAGTAATTGTTTCGAGTTTGAAACGGAGGGAGTATTAAGAATGTTTTTTTTTTTTTTTTTTAAATGTAATCTATATTAATTATGTAGGATTGTGTATTTGAAAGGTGGAGGTTAGGTGGGTCTTGGGTGGGGATAAGGCGGGTCTTTGGTGGGGATTAGGTGGGGGTGGATATTCAAGTTGGGGGTGGGGCGGGGATGGTCTTGGAATTGTACCCGTCGGGGCGGGAATGGGGATGAATTTTAGACCCGCCGCGAGGATGGAGATGAAAATGTTAGCTGGGGATGGGGATGGGATTGCCAACATTCGCCTCGCCCCGCCCCATTGACATCCCTACTAAAAAGGAAAATGGGGCGAGTATTTAGGGACAGAGGAAATATTAGGTTTCTAGTAGTCTTAGGAAAGTTATTAATTTATTATTATTTTTTTTAAGGGAGAGCTATATAAAGCTAACTGTAAAGGGAGAGCTATATAATGATCTTTTGTGCAACAGGTTCACACTTCATGAAGTGAGATATTTTTCAGAGCTCTTTGAATTTTCTTTCCAGGTAGCTTACGTTTTGACCTTGTTTCACATTTAACCCGTTTGGTGGAGTGAACTATCATTTGGATCACACCAAAACCTTAGCGTAGTATTTACAAAGTTACAGACGCAGCACCCTTGCAGCCTTGCTTGTGGTAGCAATGTAAGCTTAAGCCTTGTCCAGCCCCTCCATGATACCTTCTTTTCCCTCTCTGCCATTCGTCCCGGTGAATACAATTCTTGGAACTTTTAGCGCTCTTGACACTTCTAAATGTCTTCCATCGTTAGAACCTTTTGCATTCTCGACACTTGAAAGAATCAGTGTCAATGAGCCTATTCCTATTATTTTTGTTCCATCATCTTATGATCTTTGCTTCTGTCTTTTCACTTATTGGGATCTTGGACAATCTTGGAATTTAGCTTAAGGCTTTACACTAATATGGGGATGATAGTTGGTTGTCTATAATCTGTTCCAGTACTGAGGGTGCTTGGAATACCTCTTAGGAAAGATAATGAAATACACGTCAAACATATTGTAATAATGGATGGCAGATCCTTGAGCTCTATTGAGAGTCCAGTGCAATGCATACAAGAATACTTTCTGAGATAGTATAAGGCCGCCCTGATTCTTTGGATGCTTATCAGTTTTGCTCTTTTAAGTTGTGGAGGCTGGAGGGTCTGTTTCTACCTATTGGCAGCTGTAGCCAATCTTGCCGTGGTCAGTCAAAGCTTGGCTTTCCTCTACACAATGATTATTTATTGGTTACTTTCAACAGTGTGGAATTTCTGCACTTCATATAAGTTGAAAATAAGCAACTAATGTGGTATGTCAATACAATATTGGCAAACTAAAGAAAAGGCTATTGTAATGTACCACAAAGTCACACGAGTCTCTTGTCCAAGTCTCAAACAAATACAAGTTCTCAGTCAGATTCTTGGACATATTTAAACATTAATCATCTAAGACATATGTGAACTTTGGAAAGGTTGCAAAGGAAGGGTGACCTTTGAATCGTTGTTGAAGTATTCCTTTTTACCGTGCTTTCCTTGTATCACCTTGGCTTTCAAAGTTCCTTCACTGAGCAAATCTTAGAACTCTTATCTGAAATTTGATTTTTAAATTTATCAAGCACGTGAGGAATAGAAGAGATTCCTTTCGAAATTATTATTCTTATTGTCTTTTTTTTTTTGCTTGGTGCCTAAACGTCATGCTACTTTATGTTACTTTCTTGTGGTGATTGTGTCAGTTTTAATACTCCCTCTGTGCCTTTTCTATGGTTATGTTTCTATTTTGGACATTTCCTTTCTTTGGTTGTGTTTCTATTTAAAGTAATATTTTTACCCACACCCTCATATTTACATAATGCCAAAGCAGCTATTCCCATTTACCAAAATATTTACATAATCCCAAAGCAATTATTTCCATTTACCAAATATATTAACCTACTCCTGAAACAAATGTTCCCATGTACAAAAATGTTTACCTACTTTCAAAATAAATAATCCCATTTTACCAATTCCCAAAGCATTTTTCTTAATACCCATGAAAAAAAAAAATTCTAACTTAACCTTAGAAAAGGGACTGAGGGAGTACTATGTTTGTTAAGTCCTAGGAGCACAATGTCCTATTGATGGTGAATTTTAAAATATCATTGCTGACTCTTCATATATTTACACTGATGTCAGATGGAAGGAGTGGTAAATTTTTTTGGACGGATATCTCTTCTTGTGGATCAGAACACACAAGCTGTTCATTTTTTCATGTCTGCACTCTTACAGGTATGCAGCTTATTTCACTGATTAAACCTTTGTAGCTATTCTGATCATAGCATTAGTATTCTGACCATAACACATACAGTATGATTTGTTTGACATTGTGGACCAAAAGAAGAAATAAAAGGCTTTCAGACGTTTCAGTCACTATCTTGTGTCTATATGATTCAGTGTGTGCAAATTTTAGGGTGTTACGGACTAAAATGGTGAACCTATACTTTAGTAGCTCACTTGTGCAAAGCTTCTATTCTTGTTGTGTTTGATACATAAGAAATCTGTGGTCTTAGTGCATCAGCTAAGCAATTGGGAGTTGGAATTTTGGTTTGTATGAATTGTGTCACTTCCTTGCTTTGGCTGTGCGACGGGGCTTTCTTTTCCGTTGCTTATAGTAGAACCAGATAATGAAGTAAAAATTCTAATGTTCAGCTGACTTATAAGAACATAGCACCTTTTCAATAAAAAAAAAAGTAAATAAAAATTGTCTCCTGCTGCATATGCATCCAAAACTCCAGTATGAGAACATTCTTTTTTCTTCGTGTAGTATATTAGTATTTTTGATGAGTCATATCATTTATGCAGCTCTTTGATCGAGGTGGTATGCTGTATGGCGAATTGGCCAGATTTGTATTTAGAATTTTGGGGTTAAGAAGAAAATCGAAGAAGATTGGCCCTGCAGGCCCAAATGGCCTTCCATTGCCAGGACCAGACATGCAGAATGATCAGAGACTCCTAGAGGGACCAAAATCTGCACCAGCTGGTGGCTGGGATAACGTATGGGGCAATGATGCTAGAAGATAACACAAGGCTTTTTTTGCTCTGTGATCTCAATCTGGACTCTGCCGGATGCTTAGAGAGCGAAAAAAGCCTCTCTCCTACATTTGTGAAGGGAATGAGTTAGATTTTGTACTATTATTTCTGCAATATTGTATGTCGTGTATAATAACGTGTTCATTTTCTCTATATCTCATTTGATGTATTACTAACTAAAAAAATGTGCTATAAATGCTTTATGCTATTACTCTGTAATGGGAGTTTGAAGTATTATGAATAAGTTGTGCTCTTGAAAAAAAAAAATGCATAGTTAAATATAACAGTTCTACCCTAAATGATCATAAATTTTTTATTTTTTTTTCCCTTTTATCTTTACTTCTCAATCTGTTGAATTCTTCAAGCTAAAATATTAAAGTTAGTAAATCACAAGACCAATCTATACTATCTATCTATAATAATCCATACTAATCTAATAATATATAAGAGGAATTTTTTTTTCCCGATGTTTTAGAGTTACATATGATTTAATTTTCAAGCGGGACATGTAAGATTATAAATTTTAGTTTAGCCAATTAAATAAGAGATTATTAATTTTGTTTAGAATTAATTAATTCAAATGTCACGCAAGCAAAATTGACGAATGATATTTTTAAGTTTAAATTAATTAAATATAAAATATTATCGTTTGATATTAGGAATTTTATATGTAACAAATTTTAGCACATAAATACAAAAAAAAATATTTTTTAAAATTCAAACAAATTGTGCATCGCACGGGTTTCATCTAGTATATTTAAAAGCGTTCCTAAAAATGTAAATGTGCCACGTGTAACTAATTTTTGTTTCATGTCATGGTTAACCAAAAATGCTGACAATGAGGAGAATGAAGACCAAATTGTTACCATCTAAGCTATGTTTTATGTTCTATCTATACACATAAATATATAAATACATATTAAAAATAAAAGCAAAATTTATTCAAAACTATTTATACTAATAAACTTGGTTTAATAATAATAATAATAAAACTCAAAGTAACACCCGGAGTAATATCCTGACCGAACACTAGTTGATTAAAATATAGGATTAAAAGCGACTAGTGTTGTCAGATTTTTCTCGCAAGTGTGATATAGACGGGATCAAATCCATTGTTTTGGTACCACCTCTAAATCTTCAATAAGTAATTTTTATTTATTTTTTCTTTAAAAAAAAAAAAAAAAAAAAAAAAAAAAAAAAACTAATTAAGTAATTAGTTGACATGTATAAATGTATAATACAATTACACAAGTGACATAATTTGTTTCATGGAAATTATTGAATAAGATACTTGTAGTACTTGTACTATATTCAAATAAATATAAAAAAGCCATAGGAATATAGGATATATCATATATACTTTAATATTAATATAGAATTTGATAATGCTATCTTTTTTAAAAAAGTTGACTCTTTTATCATGCAAACAATGGCAATACCATTATTTTCACAGATAATGATCAAGATAGAGTGGCAACTAAGAATAAGGATCTTTAGACCTTAAAACTATTGTGCATTTATATGTGACTGGTGAAAAGTTTTAGACTTTTAATAACAGCGTATATATAAATAATTTCAACTACTGTGACTTGTATCAATTATCTATTTTTGTAAAATCGGGATTATATCAAGTCAAAATTCAACACACGTCAAACTCAAACTCGCGGTGCCAAGCCCGAATACTTGGCACCGGCTTTCTAAGGAAAGAAGAAGTAAACACTCTCAAGTCTCAACAGGAGGGGTTCTGTTACATCAATCTAACCCACATCATCTAGGGAGCAAACCTAGGACTGTTCAATCTTGACTACTTGATAAAGAAATCTCCCAGTATAAAATTTCCATGTTAGCTTACTCAACTTACACATTTGCTATTAGTTGCTAAGTCACTATCACAATTATGCTTGATTTTACTGAATTCGCGACTAGAAAACAGGGATCCAACCACCTACAAGAATGAGATGGCCTTTCCGATTGAAATGAAGGGCACTTCTTTAAGGACAACCTGTCCCTCAAACATTCTCTACATCCCACAGCTAACTTGTTGATTCCTGTCATTCCATTATTAATTCATCTCACCTAATGCAAACTAGATAAGTCAAACCCAGCTGTATTAAGGATCCAACAAGAAAACATAGACAAGATAGAGCAACATTAAGGAAAGAAAAAGAAATAATAGAAAATTCGTGGAAAAAAACAGCAGCTACTATACATGAAAAAGTATTATCTAACAATATACATCAAATCCTAGCAACAAACTACACTCCCCATATGCCCTCCTCACCAGATACAACTCGCCTACTTTCCTCCCTCTCGCGACAAAATATACTCAGTACAAAATTACACTGATTGCAAACACTAGAAAAATGGGTATACTGAGCTCCCGTCCATTACGATGATAGCCTGCAAAATTTACCGTAGCACATGCATGTCAGCCAATTAGCATATGGAATTAAAAGGCTAGTAAAGTATAGCTCAAATTTCAGGCAATGGATCAGAAGCCTTAATTGACTTTAGACATAAAAGACAAGGTAGCACAATAAATAAAACAATTATCCCAGTCAGTTTCCAATTTCTTCCGTGTATAGAGTTATAAATTTAATTAGTACTCCGTGTCTCCGTAGTAGGGATCTTGAATATACATTGTAAACCGAACTCCAGTGAATGGTCATAGCTACAGTTTGGTGGAATCCAAGACTTTGAAAAGACTATTCTCCACCCCCCCCCCCCCTCCTCTCTCTTTCTTCCTACCCCATCCTCTTTTCCCGGTATCAAGATTAGAATTTTCATATTTTTAACTTGGTTTATTACTCATGAACTAATTGCTACATCTTAAAAAATAGACATTGAAGATCTTCTTAAGCCTATAATGTAATATACAAGTGAACAACAAACCAAATTGCACAACTGTGGATCTGCAAGTTGTTTGATGCTTTTGTGGTTTGGTTAAAGTGATTGCTAAAACCATACCACACAAAATTTGAACATAGGCTCAGCATTGCAATAACATGCCATCACTAAGTATAAGCCTATCATTTTCAACACCCATTGCTGTGTCACTGGAGCTCGCACAAATTGAAAACATTCCATAGACAGCGATATGCAACTACCATAACAAGAAATGAAAATTAAATATCATAATCTCCAAACAAGCATTAGGATTTGACTTTCTCTTAGATAAGGGCATAGACGCATCGTTAGTAGTTTTTAGTAATTCAACTTCACAAACAACGCACTCTTTACTAGTTAAGGGCTTTGGACAGAAATGTGTAAACTAACAGCCAAAAGTAAAAATGTAAACACTATCAATAAAGCTGCAATATAATTGGTGTTATACTGTTGTAGACATACCGTGACTTCCTGAATGTTTTGACTTTGGAAGAGCAGGTAATGACATTTCTGCATATACAGCACAAAATTAATTAGGTGATTTGTCACATTTACACAGCAGCAGTAAGCCCAACTAAAAAAAGGAGCACACTTCAGATTAATAGGGGCATATAATTACTAGCTCTACCATTTCCGAAAAATACATCCCAAATTAAGTTGGAAGTATGTGGTATAATTTGATTTGCTTATATGATTCATGACACAGGTCAAGCAAATGCTTTTGTGAAATTCTTAGAATGCATGTTGTGATGGCATGTTTTGGAGTGGAATATAGTAGGTTAAGTTTTCTTCATCTATCAGTACTAATGCCCATTGCCAATAAAGCCTCTGGATGAAGGATAGAGAGCACTTATCTGACCCTTGCAAAAAGAGAGGGAAGGATGACAATGATAATTGGTTAACCCATAACATAGTAACAAACAAAACTAGAACTAGAGAGTTTTTTTTCCGATTTACCTGGAGCACACAGGGAAAAGGACGACATAGAAGATGATGAAGGCCAGGGAGCTCCGATATTGTCATTTAAGTCACAAGTGAAACTATAGCCTGTTACATTGTCATACACAATATCTGCTGGCTGACTTCGGAGTAAACAACCTGCATTTCCAGAAGAGTGAGAATCAGGTGTCAACAGAACAAGGGGGGGGGGGGGAATGAGCAAAGTCAAAGCGCAAAATAACAAGGACAGACAATCAGTTTCTGACAAAAGGGGAAAAAGACGCAAGTTTCAAAAATTCATTGATGGAGCTCATTGAAAATCCATTGGGAAAATCCATAGACATCACAGTCGATAAATATTATCATTAAATTACACATATGTCAAGAGAAGAAAAAGTACAGACCTTGCTGCCCATATGCTGTTACTGCGTCACAGATCCATGCAAGGAAAATTATAAAGTCAGACTGATATGAAAAGAAGCAATACAGCTAAATAAATAAAAAATATAGAGTTATCTCTGTACCTTGGATTGAAAAATCTTTCAAGTCCACATCACAAAGTTCATAAACATTTGCCATAACTCCGGCCTTCTGTAACATTGATGCAAACATAGTTGAACATATGATTGCTTGCTTATTTGTAATCAGCATTTGCTTCTGAACCCCATTAATATAGCTATTTAATGAGCTACAACAGGAAGGACCAGGAGCAGCTGTGTTACGGCATTGCTCAACTACTTCTAACGGATGTCTGAACTGCAACGGACAAACTGCATAAGGAAACCACTAATTAGAGGCTAAATTCAATTCAGCAAGAAATTATATCTCTCAAAAGATCAATAGCCCAGTTTGTAAAGTCGCCAAACTAAAATCTCAAGTCTAAACAATAACAATGACCTTTCAACCCTACTCCTCGTTAATATAATGCAATAAAAGTTAATAATTCATGGCATGTAATCTATGTACATAATTTATATCCTTATTTGCCTCCAGTTGCTCAACAGGCATCACTAAGCAGTCATCAATTTCAGTATGCATGTACCTGAGAGGCTGAGATACAATCATGTCTCTATAGTGACACAGGGAAGAGCTAAATCAAAGACGGGCTTTATTTGCTACTCTATACTGGCACATGAAAATAATAAAGCCCTAAACTAATATACCAGCAAATTCAAAAAGTTGTTACTATTATTTGAATTTACATCATGCATAAGTAGTTATCCTTGAAAAGTGAGATCATAAAACAGGTAGCAACATCAGAGAGACTATAATTGATAGATTAACTAAGTGTTATGACGGCGATACGGTTTGAAGCCAATAAAACATGTCAGTAAGAAGAAAAAAAAGTTCTGGAATCCCTATTAAAAGCAGGTAAAACATGAACCAGGAGAAAATTGGGAAGAAAGGAGCTTTCAAGACAATCTTAATTAACGCTGAGAAAACCTTAATTAACACTGGGAAAGTGACAACAGAT